AAACACAGGCTGCATAATTCGGGAGTTTTGGTGCCCTCTGATTTTCTTACTAGGTTGCCAACAACATTGTTTACACCCTTACCTTCTCTAAAGCTTAGTTTTGCAGGACACAATGTTGTCCTCCCTTCATAATTTGATCCAGCGCCGCTCCCTTTCAGAATATCTCACAATTCCCCAAAGATCGCTTCACATTTTATCCCAAAATTTAAGACTCATATTACTTTCAAGGCATTGGGTGTAGCTTTAATTCACGGGTTTACCGTTTCTTGTCCATTAACTCCATACACTTGTTGTATGATTTAGAAAACATGCCCCTTTCCCGGTTGTAGTGACGCTTTCTTTCTTTGGCCCCATGCTTGCCAGCCGCCTAATTTCAGACCCAGCCAGGGTTGGGGAATTTAACACCAATTATACACTTAAGTAGACACTTTGTGTGAGTAATTCTTGCACTTGATAAATCCTCCCAAACCCAGTGCTGAAATTTAAAAGGGGTTTAAATTTCTCCCCCACCGCCCGTTTAAATTTGTGAAACCCATCCCCACTTTTTTCAATCATAATTATTAAGTAATTAATTTAATTAATTTTTCACTGATTGCATCCGGTTCGGAAGGACCAGGGGTTAAGGTGGAAAATTTTAAGGAGTGATTTTGTACGACCTCGAATTAATCATCGAGTAATCCCCTTTGGGGGAGCAACAACGATATTGTTTACCATAGTCACCCACGTGACATGTGAAAAACTTAACCCCCTTGGTCACTGAGGGGGCCCCCCTCGACCCTAGTAATAAGAAAGTAAATTTATTCGGTTTATACCCAGTTACATAGAATTCTCATACATAGAAGCATATGTGAGAGAACCTGGGTAACCCAAAAAAGTCAGACAGAGGACTTTTTTCCCTTTGGGGGTCCTTTTACCTTTTTTATTTTTAAAAAGGGTTTATAATATTTTTTATTTTTTAAAATAAAGAAAAAATCTTATTATCATACAAAAAGACTATCTACTACACGAGGGTCATTAAGACTTTTGCAATACGGGGTAAAATTTAAGCTATCTCTACCGGGGTCTTACCTATCTACAATACGAGGGTCATTACTAGGGTAAGGAAAATTTACACGTATTTAGCTAAAAAATAGAAATCATTCCCCCCCCCTTTCTGTGTTTATTCTCAGACACTTTTTGGCAGTCTTCTTGAACTGGTTCAAGCTATGACGGGCCTTGCATTTGTGGGAGTTGTTCCATTCTTTATTGCTGACAATAAATTTTTTTTGAAGTTTGGCCATGATGGGGGTATACAAATTTGTGCTCTCCCCCCCTGTATAGTTTGTTTTGGGTTTCCCCAACCTTGAAAAAATTTGACACAAGATATTTGGACATGTTCGGAGAAATTTTATAAAAATTTTTTGTTCATTTGTTTTACTCTGTCTTCAAAATTCAGCATATCCAAAACTGTGTAATTTCATCCTGGCCTCATTTTTTGGTCCCGCCCCGGATGAATCTTATATTTTTTCTGGGGATTTGCGCCTATCTTTCAGTTTTTTTTTAAAGGCAGGTACCAAGAAGAGCAAGCGTAACCATATGGCATTGTATAAGGGCTAGAATGGGGTCCTGCGGCTCTTTGGTAGACACTGTGCTTGTTATACAGGAATTTTTCCCCTGGCATTCGCTTTCTTTATACATTGTTCCCTTTTCAATTCCCCTGACAGATGGGTCAAAGGGGATTCCCAATATTTAACTGTAAAACCAAAGTGATGGACTCCCCCTTTTACACTGAACTTTTAAAATTATTTCCCTTCTCATTTTATGTTTCGTCCAAAGAAAGGGGCTTCGTTTTTCCCTGGGGTTTTAATAAGTTTGTTGTCTAAACCCTTTTGCTGCAGGACTCCATTTCCAGTGTTAAAACTTAGAAATATTTGTGGGTCTTTACCTGTCCAAACGAGCCTGTCATCTGCTACAGTGGGAGTTGCCTTGAACGTGGGCATATCATTGACATAAATAAGAATAGAAGGGACCCAGAATAATTTGGGGGGAACTCCACATGTTTTGGCAGGGGTTCTGATTCCGTTTGTTGTTTTTTACTTTTTGTCTCCTGTTGCAAAGGGTGGATTAACCAGTCTACAGAACCTTACCGATAGTTTGAAGTTTATTACATAATATATTGTGGTTGACAGTATCAAAGGGCCCTTTGCAGGTCAAGGTTACCATAATGAGGTCCCTTTTGCCATTTCGTTCCGGGTAATCCATCAGTTAAAAAGGGGAGGTATGGGTTTGAGTAGGATCTTCAAAAGCCCGTTTGAAGCTAGGGAAAAGCTGTTGTCTTTAAGGTACTTAATACTTGAGAATACACCCGCCCTCTCCAAATTTTTAGATTTTTATATAGTATACTAACAGGTCTATATTTGTTTACATCAACCTATTATTTTTCTTAAATAGGGAAATTGGGCCCTCCTTAAACCCCCTCCGGGTCGGAATTTAGTGGTGATTGATAATTTTTTATGTGAGAATGGGGATTGACAGTTAAAAAGCACCATCTTTTAGGAACTTAGAGGGGATGTTATCGGGCCGTCTCTTATTTGGGGTTTTAACCTGCTTAGTTCTTTTTGAATGAAGTCATGAATACTTATATTTGCAACTGTTTGGGTTCCCTTTATTGGAAAGTATGTTTGAAACTTTTAGAGTCTTGTTAAAGGTTTTTGATGCAGCGGGTGTTTACTTATGTTTGATGCAACGATGTGTATGGAATTAAAGCAATTTGCCCCCTTTAATGTTTCGGGATCCTCTTATCGATAGGGGTATATGTTGCCATCTATGTTAGGGCTATATAAAATTGTTTTAGTTGTTGCCAAGCTTTCGGGGGTTAGTTATATTCTTAAATTTTTGAAAATATGCTTTGCCTTTGCCCCTTTTTTAAAGCCCTGTACTCTGTTCCTACCCTTTAAAATTATTTGTGCGAATATCCTGTCTGTTTGTTTTAAAATCTTTTTAGCAGTGGTTTTGAATTTCATTTTATCTAAATCTCATAGTCATCCGGGGTTCAGTTTTCGTTTAAATCCAAACCCTTTTTTAATGGGAAATATTATTAAGAATGGTAGGAAAACATTGTTTTAAATTTTTTCCCAGGCCGTTTAGTGTGCAACTTTTATCTCTGCCGTCACAATTGTGTAGCCTATTTACCATGTTTTTTACTGTAGTTTCTAGTTCCTATTTTTTTGTCCTGTTAGGCCTATCCCCCCAGTGTTTTTCCCTGGTGCAGTAAATGGAAAGATCCCAAAGCCCCGTGGTAATGACCCCTGACTGACTAAGTTTAGCGGGGTTTGCATTATTATTATTATTTAATCAAGGGGAAGCGCTAAACCGGAGGATTTTACGCGCCCGGGGGGGGGGGGTTGGAAGGCATTCGGCTTAATTCGGGGAACTGGAGCACGATCCAATTCCCTAATCAAAAGCCCCTCCCAACATCAAGGACCTTCCTTAGGGGGGCGCGGTTGCAAAGTATGTGGTCAATTAGGGGGCAGAACTTGGGGGATCCGGGTTTGGTTTATTAAATTTGTTGGGTGTAGCTATTTAATCCTAGAATTTGCTTAACCTTTTGCATAGCCCGTTATTTGTTGCGAAAACAGATATTGAATGCCCATATTATTGTTTCCAAAATTTCTTTCAAAATCCCGGGCAAGACTCTGGGAAAGTCTTCTAAGAAAGGGCCTGGGAGGAGGGCGGTAACTAGTTCCATAAGATGGGTTTGGTCTTGGGAAGCCACTTCAAACCCTAGAAATTTCCCGTTTATTTTTATTTAAAAAGGTCTTGGGTTTTAAGCTAAATCATTTTTAATGTAGGCACATACTCCCCCCCCCTTTCTGGGTTTCCCTTTTAAAGGGTTTTTTTTGTAACCTTTTATTTTACCTCGCGTCAGTCACCGTATATCCAAACAGATTCGAGATGGTTATAACTGCCCCCCCTAATTTTTGTTAGCAGAATCCCAATCCTGCCCAAATTTTGGGAAAAATGATCTTGCATTGACATGAAAAAGTGAAGGCCTGTTTTCATAAAACAATTTATAATCATCAATTAGGCAAAGGGTATTTGTATTAAAATTAGGTAAAAAAAAAGCATCATGCAAAGGGAACTGTGCCAAAATGCTTTGTTACACACAAAATGAATTCTGGCACCCTTGCTTAATTTTACTAAATTTCCCATGCACCCCCCCTTCACATTTTACATAAGGTGCCTTTTTGTTTTTCATGCGTCTTTAGTAAGTGTATGCTCTGTTTGGGGATGTTTGAG